AAGGAGGATAAATCGTCTGGCGGCAAAAACAAAACCAAGTCATTATCAGTTTAAGGTAAATTTTGCAACGTCGGGCATGCGATTCGAATAAGTAACGGGTGCTTGCAAATCTGCAAGTTTGTAATTTCCGAGATCGAAGGAGGACAAACAAATCTTAAAGATTTAATTTTACAGATAGAAGATATCGTTATTGAAAATCATATTTGTGTTCACAAGCATTTTTAATTTTAGATTTTTTTTTTTTTGTAATTTGCTTTAAAATAAATAACCACCATTCAAAAAATATCATTAAACATTCTTCTTTAAAATGAACGGTCGATATCATCAAAACCTGAAGTATGTTGATTATATAAATCCCGGCAGTGGAGTACTTGCACCTGGTGCAATAACTCCTACTACGTAATGCTTCCACCATGGTGCAATAACTCCTAGTACGTATGCGGATTTTTAAGTTGCAAATGTATAATTTTTAAGGAATATATTGATCAATCATCGAAATTGGGTCTTTATAATAAACGGGCAACAATGTTTTCACTCCCTCCCTCGTTATATATACGGGTTTCGACGATGGTGCAACAACTCCGGAAATCTTGCATGGTGCAACAACTCCTACTTCATAAGAATATATATATATATATATATATATATAAAAATAAATAAAGCAGAATTAATTGGCGACAGATCCAGTTAGGTAAAAATTTTAGGAAGCAAGAGTTTTTGGGCACATCTATACTATAAGCTCCAAGACCTCCTAATTTTGCGAAACTGGTAACGCTTAGTTCCAGCGTTCTACCGGGCCGATTTTCATGATTTTTGCGGCTATCGACGGACAATTGTCTCTAGATAAGCCAACTCTTTTCAGATTTTCAAAATATGGCCCAGGTTTTTTTATATTACGTGGTAAAGTTGCGAATTCTCCCATATGAACAATGTAAATTTATACTTTTTGTCATAGTTCGTTTGAGCGTTCTACCGGGCCGATTTCCATGATTTTTGCGTAAATCGACAGGTAATAGGCCCTAGATGAGCCCGCTGTAATCAGATTTTGGAAAAAGGACCCAGGTATTTTTAAAATCACGTTATAAAAGTGAGTGAGTTTACAGAATGCTCCGGTACTGCTACCGCTATGCGCGGGAGGATGCGCAGTGGTCGAGGAGGTTGCGCAGTAGCTGTGTAGCCTGCGCATCAGCTCTACACTTATCTACACAAGATTCGCATCGGCGACCTCATGTCGAGCGGTGGCAGAGTCGTCTGAGACGTCGAATGCATCCACTGTGAACTCGGTGTGGGTTCGATCCCCGTCTCATGAAGTCTTAATTATTACCTGACTAAAAGTGTTCATTGTTTTACTGCAATATTTCATCAAGCAGTCATTCCAAAACGAGTCCTTTTAATTTTAAGGTAATTTTAAGTAAAGTTTAAAATTAAAGTATGCCTCATATCGTAATATTCTAGGGGAAAAATAAAACTAACACTGATAGGAGGGTAAAAATAGGGCCGCGAAGCGGCCCATTGATGGCGCGGAGCGCCTTCAGTGGGTTGGGCCGCGTAGCGGCCAGGGGGCGTAGCCCCCTAGTAACTTTCTATGTAAAGAAACTCGATCTTTTTACGTAAAAAATCTTGTACTGTTTATGAATTATTCTTGTAAAAAAGACTACATCGGCGTTTCACTTTTGGTCTCTTTTACGTCTTTTTTTACGATTTTTTTTTGTAAATTTTACGTCTTTGTGCTACTAGGGGGGAGCATTGCAGATAGAGCCGAATGGCTGCTGAAAGGGAGCACGAGAATGCCTAGACTAGCTGCTAATATCAAGATGGGCCGTTGAAGATTGTAAAAAAGGGAACGAACTTAGTGACGGCATGGATTGATAACAAGAAAACCTTTGACAGTGTGCCACATTCCTGGATCCTAAGGTCCTTACGAATGATAGGAGTCAACCAAAAAGTGGTAGGTGCCCTTGCAAGCATGATGCGAACTTGGGTCACCCGACTTCAAGTGAACATAGATGGGGAATTAATATCAACGGGGCTTGTGGCAATCAAAACGGGAATATACCAAGAAGACTCTCTATCACCTCATCTATTTATCATCAGCATGTCACCATTATCGTGTATGCTTAAAGCGCTAAAACAAGGATATAGAGTCCGGAATCCAGAGACAGAAGTACACCATTCATTCTACGTAAATGATCTGAAACTGTTTGCCGGTGGGGGAGAAGACCTAGAAGTGCAGTTGAAAGAAGAGAAAAAGTTAAGTATGCATATATGTATGGAGTTTGGCTTAGAAAAATGCGCCAAAGCAGTGTTCACCAATGGTATTTATTCTATTAGTGAAAACATTGAAATAGAACCAGGTCTAGAAATCAAACAGCTGCAAGAAGGTGAAATCTACAAATACTTTGGTGTGGATGAGAGCGACAGCACAGGGCACAGTAAGATGAAAGATAGACTCCGCATAGAATATCTGAGGAAAGTGCAGACACTTCTGAAAACCAAGCTATCGGCCAACAATAAGATGACCCCGATTGGTGCGTATGCTCTTCCAGTATTAGAGTACAGATTGTAAAAAAACAAACGAACCTAGTCATCACTAGGTCTATCCATGCCACCGCATGGATTGATTACAAGAAAACCTATGACAGTGTACAACATTCCTGGATCCTAAGGTTTTTACAAATGATAGGAGTCGGTGTAATGGAATGTTCCAAAAAAGAAATACGAGCAATTGATACAAAAACACGGAAAGCGCTGACCACTCACAAGCTGCATCACCCATCAGCGGATGTTCACAGACTCAACATGACAAGAAAAAAAGGGGGTAGAGGCCTAAGGCAAGTAAAAGCTGCATTAAAGTCCTGCATGATAAATATGAAACATTATTTAGAAGAGAAAGCAGCAGAATATCCTTACATTAGGATGGTGTTGGAAAAAGATCGAAAAGCCCCGGCCAAAGGGTGCATTGGAAAACAGGCCCACAATTACTCTGCAGAGAAGAATTTTGTCCATTTTAAAAAAATTAATACCATTACCTACAAAGAAATTGAGTTGAAAAATTAAGAGAAGCACACTTCTGCTCAATGATCTTGACCTCTTGGGCTGCGAAGTGTTAAACTCTTCCAGAAGCAGATGTTGTGGGTGTTTTAACAGAGGCGATTATAGAGCTTGCAGGGACATAACAAATATCATTACTCTTTGGCTAATAAAATGATGGCAACGGGCTGATAGGGTGCCTGATGTGCTACTCTCTGTGTTCCCTTTGGGTATTTTAGGTGTGCTTCTGGTGTAACTTCTGTCACCTACTGTAAAAAGAAGCTAATCAATTGCAAATTCTTTGGAAAAATTGTCATAGCCTAGCTGCTCTGAGCTGTGGGGAACAGCAACCCCCATTATATCTCGACTCCTGTTACGTTCACAGTAATTATTCTGTGTTCTTCCAGTTATCTCAGACATGCTCAATAGAACTATTCAATTCCAAATAAATTGCTGTTTTTACTTTTCATGCACATTCTCCTTCAAAGGATCATAAGAACAGAGACAGTCTCTCTTGAGTAATGTTCATTGACAGTTAATATGTTGGTGTTTTTAGCATTTCCTGGCCAAAATGTTTAATTAAAGGCATTTTACAGGCAATTGTCCACTTCTATAATTACCAGGAATGTTCTACACTGTTTCAGGATTATTTTGTGACAAATTGAGAGATGTTTGTGATGTCTATCTACAGAAAAGATTAAAAAATGACTCTTCGTTAGAGTTTATAGCACTTTACGAGCCTCTTTCAGTCGGGCGGTTGCATGGCTGGTAGGTTTCATATAATTAACCAGCAGGCTGATTATTTTTTGCGTCGACATTGAAATCGTTACGTTAACGCCGTCGTTAGCGGCAAAAGTATAATCGAGCGATTATTTCACTCCGCGCCGATCATTAAACCGTGGCGGGATATTTGAGTCCGTCGATAAGTTAAAGGTTGCTCTATGGCAACCTCTAAGCTAACGATTCGCGGCAAGCTAACCTAACCTAAAAACATACCCGCGTGACGTCAAGAGAAGAGATGTGTTGTTTTCAACTTACGCCGCCGCGCAGTTGGAGCGCTGCTTGTATCATAAACGCTCTCTGCTTGGTTGATTATTATCTCTCACGTCGGCAACGTTGGGATCCAGATCGCTAACTTAACGACGGTAAGTTATCAAACGATGATTAACGATCAGCGGAATTCGATGTAGATAATCACTCGGCTAAAGGACGTCGTTAGAATTCAGTCGTTATCCGTGAGTCGCTAACTTATCGACTCGGATATCGACGCGGAAAATAATCAGCCTGCAGTTATGCATGTCACAGAATCAAGTTTAAGTGATTGAGTTGTACAGATTGAAAGCGAATCACGAGATAAGTTAAAACACCATGGCCTCCCTCCATCGGAAGAGACTATTCTAAAAGAAACACAATGATCGCATTTTTACAACAAAAAAAGATATTGACATGCAGTTTTGACAAGGCTTTAGATACCATGATGAATAAAAATTTTAATAACAAAAATTTGTTCACATAAGGCTTATTCAGATGACTTGTTAAGTGACCATCAGTGAGTTTTTTAGAATATGCAATACCCTTGCAAATATTCTGTTCATGATAAAGTTTTCACAGAGATAAAGGACAGTAGTCTTGAATAACACTGGCAAATAATGAAGTAATAAAGCTGTTGATGATGTTGAATCGGTGGTTTGTAAATGAAAAATTCCTCCCCAAATAGCAGTTCTTCACAGCGAACGATTCGTGACAACAAAATCAGACTTAGTACGCTCATGCATCCCACTGAACGTTTCTTCTTTCCTTACACATGTTGAAACATGAATAAAAGGCCAAGTTGGGCCATATATCACACAAATGGATTCAAAATTCAGCAATTTCTACGTTGATCCCCTTTTCTAAGGAAAAAAACACTAAAAACGTGGCCTGAACAATGAGTAACAGATTGGCGGAATACTAATGGGTTCAAAATTTACCTGCATCAGTTTCTTAACAACGTCTCGTCCTAGAATGTGATCAAAGACAGCTTGAAGAAACTGATCTGTAATAATGGTGAGTTTGAGCTTGTCTCGGTGCCACAATAGTACCCTAGAATCTTCCATAGCTGTGATAGAAACCTATGAAAAAAACCAAAAGATATAAAAATGAGACTTGAAATGAAATTTTCAGGCCCGTGCAAGCTTTGTAGCCCCCGTGGCAGCATTGCCAAGTTGGGGACTCCAAAATTTTCGTTCAAAATCAAAATTTAAAATTGTAAGTTGTAGTAGGATACTCCTCAATGGATTTTTGGCCAATTTCAAAATGGCTAGTGGGACTTTACTGAGAAATAAGCGCATTCATGTCGTTTTTTAGGGGTAAAATAGCAAACTGGGTTTAGGGGCGACAAACTATACCCTCTTCCTTCATTCTTGTCTTAACCTATCTGAATTTTTATTATGTTGTTACCTAGTACAAGATGCAACTTTTCTGAAATTTTCAAGCCCGCGCAAGTTATTTTGCCCCTCGTGGCAGCGTTGCCAAGTTGCAGACTCTAAAATATTGAATTTGATGATAAAATGAAGGTTTCGAGGTGGGATTTCCTCCAAGATTCCTCGCTGCCACGAGGGGCAAAATAACTTGCGCGGGCTTGAAAATTTCAGAAAAGTTGCATCTTGTACTAGGTAACAACATAATAAAAATTCAGATAGGTTAAGACAAGAATGAAGGAAGAGGGTATAGTTTGTCGCCCCTAAACCCAGTTTGCTATTTTACCCCTAAAAAACGACATGAATGCGCTTATTTCTCAGTAAAGTCCCACTAGCCATTTTGAAATTGGCCAAAAATCCATTGAGGAGTATCCTACAAATTTTGAATTTGAATGATAATTCCACCTTGAAACCCTCATTTTATCATCAAATTTGATATTTTGGAGTCCCCAACTTGGCAATGCTGCCTTGGGGGCAACAAAGCTTGCACGGGCCTGAAAATTTCATGAAAGTTGCATCTTATACTAGGTAACAACATACTGAAAGTTCAAATCAGTCAAGACGAGATGAGGGAGGGGGGTTTCATTTGTTACCCCAAAGCCAATTATGCTATTTGAGCCCTAAAAACCACAAAAATGCTATTATTTTCCCCAGAGCTCTGATGACCTATTTCGAAATTGCCCAAAATCCCATCAGGAAGTACCCCACTACAACCTCTAACTTGAATTTTTGATTCACATTTAAAGATTAAAACGGGTTCAAGGGCACTGAGTAGGGATGACCAATTAATCCCTTGCTCTCTTGCACTATACCTGGCTGTTAATATGTTTTTAAAAATGATTTCCTGGTATAGAGTGCAACTTTCCCTCAATTTTCATACATGGAAATTTTTTTTACACTTGTGGCAGTCTTGCCATGTTGCAGACCTCATAATAGTGAATATAATAACAATTATGGGATCGAAATTGGGTTCCCTCCAAAATTTCACAAAAGTGTGCAGTCTGAGAGTTTTTGTTTAGTAACTGCATGATTGAACAATGTTCGATTGCCTTGTTGCCAGTTTTCCAATTTAAAACTTGAAAGAATGACCACAGCCACGTTGCAATTTCAAGTGCTACTTTTTCATTTGTCCTTATTCGTTTATTATGGTCTTGAATTCCAGATTAAATATGTGTGATTAGAATTCTAAACTAAAATTGTTTTGTTCTGTGGGTACACAAAACAAGGGATCTATTAGTGGTGAGGAAGGAGCCCTGCAGATAGAAGGCAGATCCAACATCTTATGTTGTATTTTTGTACTTTATACAAAAAAGTTTCTTTAAGTTGAATAACTTCTGGATAGCAGATTCTCCTTCCATTATGGCTAGATCCACCTATCTCTTAACATTCTTGTGCTGAATACATGTATTTTCCTCTCTACTAGACGCATAAGCAGCAACTCTCTTCGTACCGAACGTCTAACAGTTTACTTTCTGGATGTCACCTGTGGTGAGCCTCTTCAGACGCCAAGTATTACTGATAGTTAAAGTAGATTATTTAAACCGACTTACTTGAAAGAATTCATCAGTGGAGACCCCGAACCACTCAGGGGAATCCAAAAATTGATGAGGAAAAACTATATGAAGAGCTCTACTGTTCTGCGAGACTACCAACCTATAATGAAACAATCAAGAGCAATGAATAAATTGTACGGCTAAAATCATGATGCTTACTGTCATTCACAAGATTTGGTTATCTGCCCATCAAATTTTCATGATGTCATTACATAACCCCATAGTGTAAAAATAGACATTAATAAAAAGGCTTCAGGAAAACTAATTTGACTTACTTCTCAAGTATTAGAAATTGCAATTTAACAGGATTAAGACTGACCGGGTGAAAATCTGTACTCAATTTCTTCATCAGTCAGGGAAAATATAAATTTCAAAAGAAGGCATTGAAGCAACATAAAATCCCTTGACGTACCACATTTCTAAGGAACTTCATACATCTGGCAGTAACAATGACCTCAAGTTAGAAAGGAGCGGAAAGAATTAATAATGAGGTTTTCTGGATCCATTCATTTATTCTTAGGGTTGGTTCATTTTCCATTGAAAAATTTAAAAGAGGAACTTAGAAATTTTCAACACTGAATTTGAAGTGTGCATTCTACGAGTTGAACCACTAAAACACTTTGACACTAGCTTTTGATGGATTTTCCGAAGGAGATACACTATTGCATTCTCCCCTGATATCAGACCTGGACCAAAGACCATGTAATGAGCATTGATCATGGGTCGTAGATTACGAATTTGCATGCCGTTCGGATTCATGTTATATACAGGGTGATCCAGACCACCCGTCCACTATCTTTTTCTCGAAAACGGCGGAGAATTGAGCTTCGGGACCAAAACTTTCATAGGGTAAATCGACCCCAAAGAATCGAATGAAAATATTTTCAGCCCCCCAAATGGCCCCTTGGGGGGGTTTTGGGGGGGAGCCCCCCGTTTCTCGCAATTTTCAAATGGGAAGGGTATGTTTTGACTTTGGATTCGGAATCTACGGTAAAAAATAAGAACATTTTGTTCTTTGCACTTTTTCCCTACACCCCCATTTTTTGAAGTTATGGGGCATTTTTGGGGCAATTTTCAATTCGACGCTGTAAGCAGCCAAATCATCCAAATTTCAAAATCTAAAAATCTCCTGAGAGGAGAGGTCAATATCTTTTTATTGATGTGCCACATGACCCCTGTTGCTCCAAAATTTTGGGGGCCACGACCCCCCAAAAATTTTGGGGCTTTGGAGGGCCATGAGTCGAAAATGTCGAAAGGCAAGGGTATGTTTTGACTTCAGATTTGGATTCTACGCGAAAAGTTACGTATAATTGATATGGCGCATGGCCTGTTTGCTCAAA